GAAAACAGCAAAACTATTTGCGGCTTCATGTCAAATAGGTGCTATAACAGGGAGTGCTACAGACAAGCAACATAGAGCATTGTATAACTATGGAGTGAATCTAGGGTTTATCTTTCAGGCCAAGGATGATATTAGAGGTCACAAACAAGATGAAGTAAATAATTTGATGTCTGTGCTTAGTAAAAGTGAAATAGAAAACTACATTGACAATCTCTTTAAACAAGCTTTGGATGATCTGGTGGGCTTTCAGGAGATACTAATTATTTATATAATTTATTGAATCAAGTAAAATGAGATGGCTAAAAAAAAATTATACTAGTATACAAATGTATTTTCAGTTGATTTATCTTGCATAACTTTTTTCGACGAAACATTCGTTCTAAAACATGAGCTATGTGAATTTTACGGTTACATGTGAGTGATATTATCAAGAGTGATGCTAATGAAAAAAAAAAAAGAAAGAATTGATACCTGAAATATAAGGATAGTAGATGAAGGAGTGAGTAAGACTGATACTGAAATATCCTCAACTGTCACAGTGCCATCATCTTGAAGTGTTCATTTATGGGTCAGTTATTCACTAGATTGAGATTATTTACGAATTATCACTACATTACAACAGTTTGAATTAAAACAGTGAACTGGTAAGGAACTTATTGTATATACATATATTTCACATGTAATAGAAGTTGTTTTCATGCTTCCAGTAGTCATTAATTTTGGAATATTTCTAAGTTTAATTAACATTGACTGTTAGACGTTTATTCTAATTTTTAAATTACTTGTACTGTTTATGTGGATTGGGTCTGTTATTATTGGTCAAAATTCATTTCATTTTTCGTAGTAGGACCGGTAAGTAATTCCATACTTCACGATAACATGCTTCCACTTAATTTTCGGAATTTTTTCTTTAAACTTTTATAAAACTTATTTTAGCTTAGACTCATTTGTGTGGACATTTAATGTTTGTTGTTTATTTTCTCAAAACTTCGAGAAAAGTAATTCGAAATATTTTATTTGAATTGGATCCATTCATGTTATAGCATAATCTTCGTTTGATGGCATCCTTATTTTTTTTTCCCAGTATTAAAATTTAAACTCTCAAGAATTTTTTTTTTAGGTGTTTAAGTCATCCCAATTCCAATATATACACTTAAAAGCCCTGTTATGATCACATAATTTAATTAACCCGAATGACTCAAAAATCATCAGATTCAGCAGTGAAAATTCTGGATTTATTCACTGAAGATCCATTGCTACAACGTCTACACCGGTTGTTTACCGTATTTAGTGATAATGAACACCATATAAGTCCACATCAAGCTCATTTTATCATTGGACAGTTGTTCAGGTGATCATTTTCGGACGCAGATTCTGGAATCACGGAATTTATAGAATAGTTATCAGACGATGTAGTAGAAATTATAGAAATAATGAATTGAAAATGATATCAAAACGGATGAATTTTCGATCGGAAGTGCCCAGACCATTATATCTTATTTTCTTTATTTCCGGTGAAATAATTAAAGACTGATTTCATTTCTTATTGTTCCAGGCTAAATCATGGAATCGAGTACGCACAGAACAGTTTACCAACTTTGATACGATCCAACGCCATAACTTTCCATGATTTGTTGCGGATGTGTGATTTGCTATTCCCGGATCGAAAACAGTTCGAACCACTAGTAGACAGGATTTTTGAGCGATACGTAGAGTACATTATTTGTAAGGTATGCAATTTATGGAGCTTTTCTAAAGTTATACAAAAGAGCAGGGCAAGTTAGAGGATTGTACTTTACAGGGTTTTCGGAACGAACATTGTTACAAAATATTGTGTTAATTGCTAGTTGTGTAATGTGAACATTAACTTTCCGGTGGCGGTTTATTAATTTGATCTTTGCTTTCTCATTAGTAATTTAAGTCACTTTCTTTTGGTTTCGAAGACTTGATTTGTTATATGAAAAATAAGAAATGCAGAGAAAAAGATAATTGAATAGTGTATAGGATACGTTGCTTACCATTTCCTGTTGTAAAAGTGTATAGATTTTTTGTATAACGTATAGATTTTGGAATGATCTGAATCTGCAAGATACATTCAGCGAAACCCTTCAGTTTTAGAATATTTAGTACGTCAGTTTTAATTTAACTTTAAATTTAACTAGCTAAATTTGAAGCGAAACGCAAGTTCAGAGTTATGATTGTAAACTAATCAAAATTGGCATGAATCGTCGGAACATGCTGGAATGATTAGCATTTGCTGACAAGTGCTTCATCTTTTCTATCTGATCCATTTTAGATTACTAAGTCGAATATCAAACATAGTCTCTTGTAAATCTGAGTGAAAGTAGCGTGCGAAGAAGTCATTACTTGCTGAATAAGATTATAAGCAGTTTTCAGACATTTTTCACAAAAAAATTAAATTTAGAATGATGTAATATTTGTCTCTTATAATGTATATTTTTCCTTCTCGAGAATTGTAATTATCCAATTTTGAACTCCAGGGTTTTTTGCTGCACTGTAGCAAAAGTAATACAAAGAAACGTTGCCTGATGAGAAACAATAATTCTAAATGGCGAGCTTACTGGTGTACCATAACACCCGGTGTAATACATTTGTGGCCTTTGCATAAATCAACAACTGTTCGAAACAGGAGAACTATCACTATCGATCAAACATCATCTGTTCAAGTTGGTTCTTTTCTTTAGAAAAATTATACGACCATTATTCCATTTTGTTGATCATCCATCCTTATCTAGACTGAAATTTCCGGACAATATGCTTCGGCAATGATTACCACTAATCATAGAAATAACCATCTCAGAAGTAAAAGATATATGATAGGAGGAAAGTTCAAAATGAGCCATATTGCAAGTCGGTGTTGTGAAGATTTTTAATTCTCAAATATCATTGATGAAAGTTTCTGCATTGAGACGGAGCAGTCACATTACTGATAATTAGGAAAGATATTCTACTGACATCGTGAGTAAAAGTTTATCTAATATTCTGGCCGACGATATGAGACGCTTAATTTTAGAATTAAGAAACAATACAAGAAATTCTATGCTAATATCAGTGTTTAACTTTAATATTAAATAATATTATTAGATAGGCACATTTGATGAGGAACGATTTACGTGGTTACTTACCGCAGAATCGAAGCGAAAATATGAATTTGGTCATTTCGATGAACTACGACGAAAGCACTGGATATTCAGTAATGCCTGCTTTAATTATTTAATAACATATGAACTCCAATTTTATTATACGGAAGAAGGATCGTGATGCTCTTAAAGCTAAATTGAAATGTTCGAAAGATCGAATTAATTTTAATTAGTAAAATTATAGCAATGAATTTGGCTATAGAGCGAAGGTCTGTGGAGGATTTGCAGAAGTATGACCGGGAATGTTCGCGTAGCACAGAGTACCCTATATTACGGGATAAAAATTTGTCCTGGAGACTGGCACTTGAATGTGAAAATGAACGATTGATGCAATTGCTGGACGATCAAAGAAGGGCCCTTCGCGATGAAGAAATCGTAAGAACAATAGCTACTAGGTAGAGATGTTGCACTGAACTAAAATTGAAGAAAATATATGTAACATTTTCATGAGCAGTGATGCAGATTACGTAAAACTTTCCCGTTTGGAGGAATGGCATACTATTGAGAGCAACAGCATCTATACTTCAGACTTGTTAAATATGAATACATATATGTGTGCTCGGAGCTGATTTTGCAGAGGTCATATTTAGCAAACTTACTTATGTTAAATTAGATGCGTAAATGAGAGTTATTTGTACATACAGTTAAGCGAAAAGCTAGGTATTATGGAAATTACTGTTTATTGAGATGTTATTTTCTGTTGAAAGTTGATCTCTTTTTGATAACTAACAATCTTTATAATGAATAGATGGTACAGTAACTTCTGGTGATGAATTGAAATTGAATTAGTTTTAATTTTAATCTTGCTTAAAACTCAATTTTTCACTTTAGGATGCTTGATGAAGAACGTGAGAGGCGTGAAAAGCTGGAGGAAAAATTGCAGGGTTTGGTCAGGAATCGCGATGGAAATTGCAACAACAACCCCGGAACGACAAAAGCCTTCCTGGAAGTTTCAAGCTTCGAAATATTAGATAAGAACATTTCTTAAATAAACTAGGTGGTGGAGTTCAAAAATATATAAACGTTGTGGGAGAAACAGGAGGACTTCAAGAAGATTCATGACATCTTGAAAAGAGAATTCTGATGTAGCGATTACTAAAATTCTTCTAATGGTAAGATATGTTATCTACAGGTTATGTAGAAACGAGAAGATATATGCATAAAAGTTTTGTATCCCAAATAATGTAACTTATCTTATCGTCAAGCATATATATAGTGAATTAAAGTGTGAAATTTTTGTTGCACCTGAGAAAATTGATGCCCTAAGCCAGATGGTGAACTCTTGTTGCTTTATGTTACAGTGTAGTAAAAGTGGTCACTTTAAACTAAATCATTTATGGAACAGCATTCAGCACCCACATCTACATCAACTCAAAATATTCACACACAACGCCGAACAACTAGCTAATGTAGTTGGTAAAATAAAACGCAAAAAATTAAGTACGACATGTAATATTGACGATAATACGAAGTGTAGGATAAAAGAAGCACTGAAACATAAGTTGTATATGAAAAGTAAGCAAATCGAGCACTACTTTAGGTACTATATTATGATATTACAAGGGCATTTCATGAAAAAAAAAAACATTTGGATTTGTAGCGAGAATTAAACATCATGAAAAAATAGCTACATAAAAAAAGTTACACCAGCCGTAGGTTCTATTCCAGTTGATTTACTTCCAGAGCTTATTATATCATCGCTACTTTCAAATGTAATTTTAATGCAGAAAAAAATGATTCGAATTAGAAGTTCATCTAGAAATTTAGACCATATTTCATATAGATGAGCCTCTTTAGTGCTATGTCATTGCCTTTGGGTTCTTTTCGAAAATGAAATTTTTAAAAGCGAAGCATTTTTGAACCAGCGAGGATTTGCTTATGTAGTTGACCATATTTTAGTTCTGCGTTAACTTGCTTCACTCTTAGTTCCTAAACATACATGTTAACTCAAGTAGAAATTGTTCTATTTCCTGAGAAAATGCGAATGAGCATTTTTCACGAAAACTGACAGATACCGAGTTCTATGAGCTTCAATTTCACAAATTCATTCTCGAAAGGAATGATCGGCTAGTCTGTCGTAATTCCGTCTATCATGTAAAATCGGAAACATTTAGAAAATTACGACTTCGATAAAATCTTTCTAAACATACCTGTTGTTTGTAAGCAATTCTCTTGCAAATCTCTACTAATCTATTTCCTTCCACCATCAATTTCTCTAATTCCTTGCCGTTGCAAATCTCTGACCTTATTTTCTGACACATCTCATTGGTTCCTTTATGTAGTATTTCAAATTTACTTTTCATATCTTCTAGTTCTCGCATATTTCGGGAAATACTATGCGTACATTCGTCCATAGTAAGAATATTGTTCGAATCACCCACACGTTTCTACAAATTGTCTCTAATATTTTGTAGAGCAAGCTTTTGAAAAAATAGTTAGAGATTTAGGTTCCAGGATTAATATGTTTTTTTTTTTAATGCAGTTCTAGTAATCTCATATATTTTACTACCATAAAAATATGGTAGTAAAAATATTCCCCAAGTAAAGGAATTTGTAATCGAAAGTAAAGAAACTGATGGATGTTGTATCAAACTTTTCTAGAATCGGATTAGATGTATAGAATTGATATGATAACGTTGTTTCAAAAACGGAAATTAGATTTCGTTAACATAACCATTATCTGTTCCATCCTTCCCATGCAATTAGTAATATGCCAAACACTGTTAGTCAGTTTTTCCGTTCGTTTCTGGTAGAACTCCAGTAGAGAATAGATTTTTGAAGTCAATTCTTTGCAGTCCTGAAATTGTTTAGTGATTTGATATAGTCTTTGTAGCCTTTATTCCATTGTCAGATTCCAGAAAAACAATGAGGAACTCAGCTGCAGGATCATTTAGCTATCAATAGCTCTATGAAAAAAATTTCATGTAAATTCGCACCGTCAAAGTTTTCTTCTTTTCTTTCCTACCAGATTTCTTCCTACCGCTGTGTGCGATTTTTATTTTCGACTAAAAATTATCAAAGTTAGTTTTTTAAACTTCTTTTAACTTGTAATCTACTTAAGCTTGCAATCTAATATTTGGAACTCTCGAAATAAGAATCTAATTGGACCTAAAAGCTGAAAAAATTAGCCAACAGTAGATATTTTTCATTTCAAATACGAACTTGTAATTACACCTTGATGAGTTTACAGCCATCATTTGTCTCTCTCTTTCTGTCTTTAGCAAAACAAGCAAGTAATCCTGATCATCATACCACAATTCATTTCACTCTACATTTATTCTATTACAATTGAAATGTGATGGCGTTTGTATATTATAGAAAATAAAAAAAAAATGCTGCATACCCCTTCATTTATTTCTTCATTTCCTGCAAAAGCTAAGGTTATGCCTGACTTGATCAAGTAACAGAAATGAGGCTGATCACTTAAGATGACTTTCACTGCAGCCTCAAAATTATTCAAGACGTACATCATCATCTTCTTCTTCGAATTGTTTGCTTCATTTCTAAATTTCTTTACAAGTGTACCTAACTTCTCCTTTAATTGACGTTGAAAATTCGCTGGTTCCGCTACAGAAAATTTCACGCTTTGGAGAGAATTATCAATTTTGTAAAAGCGATAGTAAAGTTCCATGTTTTCTTCGTGAGCCTTTTTGAGCATAAGTTCATATTGAACGATTTCCAAAGCTGTCAAATGACATTGTCGCTCTATCTTCTCCATTCTTCCTTTTGTGGCATTTTCCACTTCTGTCTTTTGTTTCTCAAGTTTTTCCTTGAATCTTTTTTCTACATTCTATATAAATAATAATATTATAGATAACTTCATGAAATAAGTAAAACATGATAAAAGTAATCATAATAATATATGGGATATAAAGTTTCTCTTTTCCAAAAATCTAGCAACATTTTCCGAGTTTCAGCCATGTTAACTTGATCCTCCTATGACGAATTTTGATTTTTACAAGGGGAAAGAGTATTTTTCGATATCAAGACACGATAAATAATTTGAAAGTGTGACCAATAATTTTAAAATTCCACCTGCTTCACTGCCAGCAGTTCTACACCTTCGTTGCAATTTTTCTGTAGTGCCGCGTTCAGATCGATTATTTTGTGTTCAACGTCATGTAGCTGAAGTAAATACTGTACAATGTATTAATAAAAGTAAAAAAAAAAAAAAATTTCTATTTACTGAAAAAAATTACTGAGAAAAATAGATTCAGGCAGTGCTAATTCTCAAAACTATACAGAATACAAGTATCACCTGTTCCCTCAACTTATCTTTTTCATTTTGATACTGTTCGATTTCTGACTGAAAAGTGCTTTCCTGACTGAGCGCATCTTCCCTGAGCTGTTTGAATTGTTTTTTGAGATTTCGCTTTAATAAAGACGTTAACATTCTTCAAAACTGCCGCTTCATTATTTAGCGATGAATTAAGATAACAACACTAAAATGTGATCCTGTCCCTCCTGTTAAGATCCAGAAAATGGTATTAACATTGCTGACAAGGAAGAGACAACTGATTATAGTTGACATATCTTTCTGTAATGTTAAATAGTAATTCATCTATTTATTACAGCAAAAGAACCTTTGAGCTTGCTTTATCTTCTCAGAATTGAAAAATATCGACAAATCAATCAATGAATAAAGCTGACATATGTAACTCTCATCAAATATGGTAAATTTTGGGGAATAAATTGCTGGCCTTGAAGGACTATTAACCAAATAACTTACACATTGAGCCTTCCAATTAATTATATCTGTGGTACGAGCAAACATCTTAATACTCCTCTTTGCATTCCCGACCTGAAATGAGATCTGAGATTATATGGCGAGACGGTATAGCCAGAAATAACTATTTCTTAGTAAATAACAAAAGTAATTGCTTTTCAAAATTTAGTTCGAAACTACTTGCCGTCGGATAATAATGAATTTACAATTAACAATGACTGATTTGCAATTGAAAACTAAGCACTAAGATTACTCTCACTAGATTAGCCATCTTTTTCTTCAATCCAAATCACCCTTGCTTCTTTTTCAAGATAAAATTGAATCAAAAAGAATTCTCCCATTTATTCTAACCTTGCAATACATGATGGTTGATCATCATCTATAGCACAGAGAGAGGAAAGATGCGTAAAAATAAGGAATCACAAACCGTCATTTTAGAATTGTTAGAAATATGACTGTTAGTACATCCTTTGTGTTTCGCTTGCAGTTCATTGAGCTGAAATATGAATTTGACTGTTCATCAAAAATTCCAGTTAGAATGAATCATGCGATATTCGCTTCTCATAGGAATTTAGTGATTTTTATAATTTTTTTTTTAAATATGAAAAAGGCAAACAGTGAGTAGTAAAGAGTCAAGAGTAAATGGAATATCAATTGCTACTACAAAAAATTATCTAACTTTGGCGTTAAGAATTTCTATTTTAAATTGCATAATTTGGCAATTTGAACAGGAATTTCTTGCAGACTTTTCTCGAAAAGTGCGCTTCATTGGTTCTAAAATTCGAAATTTTTGAATTAAAACAATATGAAGGTAAAAGAAAACATAACGCAAAAGTTTTTGTTTTATGCAATGCACGACCACAGCAAGAAATCCTTTAAGATTCATTCGAAATTTGCTCTGAAACGAGAAAGTTCTGCTAATTTAACTTCGTAATTCCACTCCTAATTACGATATTGCTGTACTACTGTATTCTTTATTGTTCGAACCATAACACTACCTTATTTTTGGATGTGATCAAAAATTAGTAAAAACCTTGTAATTTTGATTAGTTGAGGCAGTTATGATTTGCAGATCATGTAAATATTTGAAAAAAGTTGTTAGGAAATATGCACGTATATTGAGTTAACTTAACAGATATATGCACAGTGCACTGTGAAACCTTTAGCATTTCCATATTTCTAAATTTTCAAGAAATCGTGAAGACATGATAATCAGTGACACCGAAATATCATAAAATGTAGTTATTATCAGCCATAAAGAGAAAAAGTTATGCAGTTAATAATTCCCAGTATGAATTTCTTGGCCACCACATTATTTTCCAAAAAACGCAAAGATATAATTTAAATGAAAAAAAAAAAAAAAAAACTATCTATTCGTTGCCGAACATAGAATTCAGTTAAACCTTATACAAATTCTGTCAACTTATTCATCGACAACGAAATTTACAGAAAAATCGAAATGAGAATTAGAAACTCGAATTTGAAAATGAACTGAATTTTCGAAATACTGAAGGAGTTATGATAAAATTGCCAGAATTAAAAAGAAATACAATAAGATCCAAAGAATATCTCTAAAAATTAGCAACACCATTTTAAGTATATTTAAATAAATGACTAGCCTAGAAAAATACGAGAACGCTAACATTCATGGCAGTATACAACGGAGGATATCATAGAGAATGTCATCTAGAATTGCACAGCAGATGAGATATTGGGGACTGATGTGTCAAAGGAAGGTCAGCAACTCTGTAAGGGAGTGACGAAGAAGCAGAAAGCATTCCGATCTACCTAACTGTCAGAAAGTTCTTCTAATTCCTGGGTGAATATCTAAAGCAAGATATCAGCGGTGATATGTTGTACAGATAAGTGGCAGTAATAAGATTGGGACAGGTGAAAAAACTTGGAATTAATTATAGAAGCAATATACTGTCAATGAGAGACCAAAAATCAAAATTTTTGTGGAACGTTTCCAAAAAACTTTCTTAACTCTTCCTGTTAATAAGTTTCCAAAATTGTCAAACAAAGCTCCCATGTAACTACTTCTTTACTGTTTGTTACTATTTTATTGTTTATTGTTATTTATTTATTATTTATTAATACTATTATTATTGTTGTCATTGTTATTATTAATTATTACTGTTGGTTAATTGATAATGTATAACATCTTGGTTCACAGGAGACAACAGCTATATTATTATTATTATTATTATTATTCAACCGAAAAATCCAAAATTCAACTGGCTTATTGTTCCGGAAGATACATGATTCCCTGCTGTTAATCCATTTTTCATCTTACTTTTAATGATAAATAATATTCAATCAACTTTAATAATTAGAGGACTACCAGCATTTAGATAATATTTTTCATTTTATACTGCGTATAACGAATTAATGCTTCTGAAGATCGCAAAATATAAATTAGTTTTCCATATAGATCATGCTCCAAATCATATAACTTCGCCTCACGAGCTGCAAAATAATTTCAAATATGCCGTGACTTATGTAAACTCCAGTTAGCATTTCTTCAATTTTTGACATTAAACATTCAATATTTTACTGGAGTTAAACTTACCTATGCTTATACTGGTGCAAAGTCGTATCAAACGACTTGGATCACCTAGTTCTCGGAATGTAAGTTCGAATGGTTTTGTCATCAATATATCGCGCAGTTTGAAGCTAAGTAAATACACCATTGCAAATGTCATTATCAGTGACCTACAATTACTATCTTTTAACTGCAGAAATTGAAAAGTTTGGAGTGCCCAGATATATTGCTACATATGAATGAACAGGTTATTCTCGATAAATCCGAAGCATTACAATTTGGAGAGATAGTATACACTGCAATAGAAGTTTAAATTTACTTGGACGAAGTTTTTTTTTTTTTATTTTTTGAGGGTTATAATTCTATCTTTTGCAGCATTTTCACGGAACAAAATGCTGCTTTTATTTGTACAATGCTAAATACGCAAAAAATTATTCAAAGTCAAAAGATATACATACGGAGTGGAAATATTCAAAAGTCGTAGATAACTCGAAGAAACTTTAGATACAAAAAAAAAAAATCGTGGTTCTTCCATTGTGCCAATCGTCGATCCATCATGGCTAACACCATACTGTTCCAGCATGACAACATGCGATGCCGAACCTTCCTCTAGGCGGGTTGTGCAGTATGGTTTTAACACTAACCTAGAATTAACTGAACTTCTACTAATGAAAAGAAGAACCAAAGTGCGTCGGCATGCTCAGAACAAATAAACAGAATAAGTTTTACTTTCAATCCGCCTAAGCTATTAGTAATATTTAATAATGCTTATTGAAGAATGATATGTTTCAGATATTAGATTATTAGTATGTCAGTAAACTCATACAAATATTTCTCCATTCTCTTCTTCAACGCATAAAGTAATGAAAATGAGTCACTTTAAATATGAAGCAAATAGGTGTCAAATTAATAAGTCATTTAGCCTAGACAAAGTGGAACGCATGTTTATTCCATTTATTAGTATGAATAATGTCAAGCAAAAAAAGAAAACACTAACCTTGTCATGTATTTAAATGAATAATTGAAATAAGTGAAACGGTGACTGAATTGTTCGTCAGCGATAGTTGGATTTTCATACATTAGATCACCATTGGGTACAGTAATCAGTGGTCGAACTATTTCAGAAATGTCCATTTCGAAAGTGTCTGAACAGTTTGCCGATTTGAGCACCTAAATATGAACGAACATTTCGTATACTTTAATAGTTCATTTTGAAATCACAACTGAACTGTATTGTCGTCGAAGTCTTTCCATTCTACCTTTGAAAATGGAATTAATAAGAGTCAAAAAAATGAACAAGAAAATGTATTTAGCTAATGAATTCAGTGATGCAAACATTTGAAAGATGCTCCAGCTCTTGTTGTTCCATTTCCATTTCCCATTCACGCGCAGTTTCCAGTGGTGTTGTATCCGTCTTTTTCAGTAAATTATCTGAATTTGTTAAAGAAAGGAAAACTACTTTTCAAATAAATCCTAATGTATTTCTTTGCTTCTTAAACAAAATAAATCACATTCCTGCTTATTTGAATCAGATGGGTAGCCTTCAAATACATTGCAGTGCTTTCTTTATCCTATTACTTTGTAGTAACAACTGTAAAAATTGATAATCAGCAGTGTAACATATGTAATACATTTTCAATCATCTTGGAACAATGACAACAGTATTTCAGAACAAAAGGGTTACAGTTATTAAGAATTAGAAGTTTAGTATCACGCAAGTAATACTGAATGATTGAAAGTGTCTTGAAAATACCCGTCTGTTCCTGAATACGCATTCTTCGCAGATAAATCCGTGATTTCAATTTCAATCCATTTATAGACTCGTTTGCCAGTTGTATCAATTGGCCTTTCCAATCTGGATGAGCATAATGAATCATACCTCGACAGGATAATGTAGCCTGGAATTACAATTTCTGTTCAGATTCCTTTCGTTTTCCTAAAAAATTTTTCTTTAATTGTCTATTAGTCTATTTAAAAATTTAAGAAAAAGTTTAATTAAAAAAGATATATAACTAGAACTTAATCTCCAAAAGTTGTGGTAAAAAATGAAATTTGCAAATGAAATAGGAAAAAAATTTTTAAAATTCATCTCATGTCCAATGCGTCGTTGGAAATAACTTCTGGGAAACTATAAACGAAAATCAAAATATGAGAGAGAAAAAATGGAGAAAGCACTTTAACAATAGTTTCTGCACCGAGTGATTTGATAAAATTTTGCGCATATATATCAAATGCGAAGTATTTGATTAAATAATTGTACTCTCGATCGCTAATCAGTGGTAAATCTTCCAAATGACACTCATATAATATCTACAATAAAAAATTATCTCAAATGCAAGACTCGCTTGCAGTGTGTTGTGATAAGCAAAGACAACTAGCACATAAGAAAAAATTCCTACATATGCGAGGTAATATACAAGAATCATGTATATGGTTTTGAATCAAAATATCGACCGAATGAAACGGAATGAAAAACGAATGAAATTACTCAAGTTAAATTTCGTTTGATTTTTAATTTTGCTAATTAAGGCAACTTGGTTAATATATAAGCAATAAACTTTGGCTAAAAACAAATATTCACCAAAAAAATTATTTAACTAATACTAAACGCAACATCAAAATTCATAAATATGAGGAAATGAAATGCTTACAGGATGCTGTTATGAAAATTTGCAAGAATATTATGAAAATTAAGATATAAAAAAAATCTGGAAACAAAGTTTTGGTCTAACCGGTTGTTTGTCGATCCGCAGTGTGAACACCATTTGGACCGGAAGGAAAATTCCAACAAACATCTGAAAATATATTTGTGAGTTTTCTCAATGGAGCAGTGAAAAAATAATCAACCCAGTCAAAATTAAAATTTCTTAGTCATAATACTAAAAGAATAGCGAGAGAAGCATGGGTGAATAAAACTTCTGTAAGAGGTCATTTGTATCAATGGGATCAGACTTATTAATTCTCTATATATAACTTTGTTGCAATGAAGTGATAAAAAAAATTGTTGACTGATCGATTATAAGGTTGCTTAATTCGATTTTTTCCCAAACCTATTATTATTAATACAAGAAAACAATACTCACATTTTCAGATATGAATAGAATTAACATAACAAGAATGACAAATACCACAAAGAGTATTCCTCCACCCAAAAATATTTTAACTGGAACTGAAGTCAATTCCGCACGTTTTCTTGGGTAAAACTGGAAATAACTCTCTCTAAAATTCTTTTTTTTTTTAAAACCATGTTTTTTTTTGATAATTTTCTAATAAAATTTTGGTAAAATAACTTTTTTCTTTTTTTGCAATAATTTGAACAGTCTAAAGAAGGGACAAAACGGTAGCTCCTGCATAACGGCGACATAGCTAGACAATGGACACGTCTTGGAATTTAACTTCAAAAAAGATCTATTTCCTCAGAGACAATGTAATGAACTACCAAAACTGCTTTGTGAAACTTGATGTTAATGAATAAGAAAAGAAATTGTTTCACGCAAAATTGGTTTGAAATAGCAACCCAGCAATACAAATATATAATTTAGCAGCAAGTAAAGAAATACCGAGTTTTACATCACTTAATATTGAGACAATCTAATAAAATTTGATGAAGAAAAGATGGACTGACCGCTTCCAGCTTTCGCATGCCCTTGATGAAATATAAATAATAATTAATTGTTTTCAAGATATAAAAATCCAATAGAGTTAGTGTTGTTGATGTAAAGGTCCAATCAAGAATTGTTGCTATTTCAAAGACTGGGACGGTGTAGAAATATCTGAAAAAGATGTGACCAAAAATTTCTCACTAATGCAAAAAACACTTTGCACAATATTTTTAAGACATGTTGCTCCTAATCACAATACATCATAAAAATTCTTCCTCCACAATGAAACGTACATAACAGAGCTAGTGGACACGCGATTTAAGACACAAAGATAAAATGATATTAACAAATCTGTACGGTATAAAACGGATAACGAAGAGGTTTAAGGGTCAATATTCTTCAAGATGACAGATTCCGTAATATCTGGCCCAACTAGAAGATACTAGGTATTGATAATCACTGCTACCTACTTTAGTGTCTAATAAATATCTGTGCAACAAACCCGACGTATAAAGCCCAGCTTACTGGATTGGATTTCATCATTACATCACCAACGATAAATTTTGGATAGCCATCTCGTACTTGAAATGCACTTGAAAGCATGTGTATACCACGGGCTATATACCAAATAAATAAACCGACAGTCATCCGACGATTATCATCGCTATAATTACATGAATGATATGCATGAAGAATCACATCAAAATAAAAAACATATACAACTAGAAATATGCAAACTGTGACAAAAAAATTAGAGACAAGGGAATAATGAATAGTAATGGATATGAAATACCCATAATACCTTGGACAAGACCTAAACAAAACTTCAGGACGATGAAATGATCTATGAATTCATACAGTTTCACTAACAAATTCAAAAATTTACATTTGTGGTGAAATTAATAGTATTATGAGGATGTAAATGTGAATTCCGATTACTTCAACCACTAAATATACAAATTTCACCCGTATTGCTCGTTTGAGGTAAATTATCCGATCCAGTATGATCTAAAAAATAAAAAGTTTCTTAAAAAATAACTGCCAACATATTCCACACCTAAAATATTCGACGAAGATTTATAGAACTGTGAAGCTCGCGCGGTCAAAAAAATTACTTGTTGTTACACTTTAACTTGTTAAAAAACGCGATTAATTAAACTTCTGGTAAACTGCCTAGAACGGAATGTTAGTGAAACATTTAAAATCCAAGCTCATATCAGAAGACATAAAAAAAACTCAATAGTACGTAAGTCGGTACACAATCATCACACATGGAATACCATATGGAAAGGCTAGAAATAAAATTACTGGTGGGGAAATTTAAACTTACCATGCCAAGACTTGTCATAAAATAGTAAACAAATGTATCCGGCAACAAGCTACTTTTGCTCTCCAGTAATGTAAAAGCATCTCGGCGTGCCAAATCGAAATTGGAAAAATTAATAATCATGGTGATAAGGGCAAGTAAATCAGATAAAATCATCCACGGATAGTAGTTTGAAGGAGAACGCTGCCGTAATCGTAAGATATCCAATAATGCTGACCATAAACAACATTTTTTATGATCTGAATTACAGCTACCATAATGCAAATGCATCACACATATTAATATATCAAACAAAACAGAAACAAGGCTAATCAGTTTTCTAATCTTAAGCTTTTTCTTATTTACTAATTAATTCAAACATTTACTTAAGGATAAAGGATCTCTACTATGTATTGCGACTTGATAAGGAGCGATATATTCTAAACGTTATTTCGTAAAACAGATATAAGACCACAGCATAATTTAGAGTGATTGTTTCTGTACCCGCCGAAATTTTAAATGTTTTGAAGCTGTAAATGAAAATAGATGATACTACAACCAGCTGAAACAACAGTATACAGCACTATGAGTAAGGCTATTATCTTCCTTCTTATTTATAAGGAAATAAAAAAAAAAAAAAAACAATAATAATAAGACCTTCATTTCTCAGTAATTGTCTACTCGATGCGTACCAAAAACCATTTCGCTGAAACCACAGGGATGAACGAAATTCATCGGAAAAGATAAAAATGCGTTAGGGGATAAAATATAAAATATTATAGTTACTGGATGTTATCCGAAAAGAAGAAAAGATATCTGAATTCCCATTTCATGGATTCCATTACCAAAAGTCCATACTTATTAGAAATAAGGACTGTTAAAAGAGTAAACCAAGCATCTTATGTAGAGAATAGAAGAATAGTTTACTCTCATATTATGACGATGGGTGAAAAGTACGAGAACAAGAAGGCAAAATATGACCACAGATATCGGTTCATCAGCGATACCTACGAATCGTCCTATCATCGCCATACTCCATCTACCACATTTCATCCATTCTTTGCACATCCATGGTAGGGAGGTATATTTGAAGCAAACCGATACTAGTATCATTATCTGCAACTGTTACTATCTTTTGTTTAAAATTTAGATGAAACCTTCGTCTTATATTTAATTACTTATGCAGTTTGAAACAACATCATGTAAAATTAAAGACGCTTGAATTAAAATGAGACAAAAATTCAAAATTGCAATTTATCATCATCACCTGTACATAAAAAATAGCAATAGTCCAAAGCAGACGACGCTTCCGTTCGGTGATAGCTCCCCAGAAGAAGACTAACATTGTTAGAGGAAATGTAAGTAAGCAGGCAGATTGACCATGGCCAACAATTATTACCAGATAACACAGCAAGGCCGTATTACAAATCCAAAATGTTCCAATTGCATCCATTAAGCGCCACAGTAATGGTAACTTCAACCAGCGATGATGCACTTCATTCATGTACCTGTAAGCGAGCTACCATGAAAAATTAGCATTGTATGTGTAGCAACGGTAGCTCTTATCTCAAAAAATGAGGCAAAGATACTGTGAATTAGTCTTCGCATCAAATGCTAATTATATTTCCCAAATGTTCTACGTGCTAATTTATTGCGACATTAGTTTCACAAACTAATGTGACTATTAAAACAGAATAAGAACTCTCATAAAAAATAATTACTTAACAATGTCTCTGGAACTAGTAACCAAACAAATCTCATTTCCAAGATTGCATTTTTCAAGTTTACCCAAGGAATTTTGTGAAGCCAAAGTTAACTCCTGAAATGGCAATATAAAAATCTCGAAATAATTCCAAAACTGACAATAAATCAATTAAAAGTATTCCCTCATAAAAATTTGTCTTGGTATCATTCTTTGATTCCCTCCTACAATGTAATGTTTGCAAGGAATGCTTCAAATTAAAGATACCTTTGGTAGCTTCTCTAACAGCAACCTTTTTTCTTCATTGATAACAAAGCGAATGTAGCGATAACTAAGTGTTTTACGGGCCATCCAAAGCGCACATGTAGAGAGCAAAGCGGAAATTGTAATGTATGGAGTCTCAAAAATAAGAAATATATCTTTAACCTGTAGGGATGAACTAAGCACGTTAACACTGTACATCAAGTGTCATGTTATTCTTGTACAAAAGTAAATTTCAGCAACAAATCCTTCAAATCGAGAAATCTAACTTCTTGATAAAAGCACTAACCTGTGTTTTCTTAATCCCTTTCATCCTATCATCTTGACCAGTTTTTATTTCTGACGTAGATCTAAAGCTAAAACAATGAGCTAATTAGCGGTAAAGAATAATTATCTTTGCAGAAAAAGATCTTCGCCATTAAATCAGATAGATAAGCATGATTTCTTGTTTTCTCCAAGTTAAATGATAATAGGAGGAACTGAGTTACAAAATAAAAATTCTACTTCTACAATGCATTGTTCGTAGAAGAGTTCTTTTCTGATTCGTATAAGAATTAACGGTATATTAATAAAATCAAAAGTCTGACTATCTAGGAAGATATTTTAAAATACTATCATCACTACTGACGAGAAAAAACAGTAACTATCGGACTACTGATTACAACAGATACCGATCGGATGTTTTATTTTTAGTTTCCGTTTATATTATAAAGAATTCATGGACTGCTTCTTATTCATTTTGTAAGAAATACATGAATGGAGTTAAAGAATGTAATTAAGCATTACGAATAACTACTAAACGTTGTTTCCTCTACATTTTCTGTTGCTGAATCCACCGTATGCAATAAATTCTCGTTCCATCCACGTATTGCTGAAAAATCCGAAAATATACCAATTTTAAGATCATTATATCCCTCCGAATTTGTCCTTTAAACATTCAATATGAAAAAATTAACATATTGTGCCCATTCCATCAGTTGATTACAACAAATAATTAATTGGTCAATGAGCATAATATAAAAATGAAAACAATGGCTTAAAAAAGTCTCAGAATATCTCTTTAAAACTTACTTCAAATTATGAAAATAAGGGTATCCGATACCAATTTCAGTTAATTTTAATTGAAGAATTTAAAACAGCATATTTTCTAGATGAACCAACAAACATGATTATGCCGAAGAACAAATACCATTCCGCCTGTACAAATGTGCTAACAATGACAGTAGCTAGACAGTGTTTGGGGTAAAACTCACACTCAATAAACCACTCTCCAAAAGATAGATTGAGATTCGTCATCGCTCCCACAGTACGTTTGATTTTCTCCAAGCGACGATAATCTCGTTGTTGATGGTAGGTCATTGCTTTGTAAATTAACTGAGTTTGAAGGACAACACCTCTGTAATGCTGCTGCATTATTACATAAAAAGGAGTAGTAGTTGAAATTTGATATTTCAAGTCTTTTAATCTAGAACTATTGCTTATCTTACAATCCCTTTTATAACAATACTTGATTAGAGGAGAAACAGAATCTTACCATGGTTCCAGAAATATTGAAAATCTTAAAACTTACCTGTAACATACAATTCGATCAGCTCGTGTATCAATGACGGTTCGTTGAAAGTGCCTACAATCACTATATTCTACTTCTTTTGATAATAAAAGTGAGATGACCCTCTACTGCAGCATAGAAGAATTATTGTGCTATAAATAAATTGCATACCAACTACTGATCAGACGAAGTTGGAATAGAAGCGCTGCGAAGGTCAGCACATCGAAGAGAAAACTATTTATGCTTAATTCTCCATATGGTGCTTAAAAATCATATAAATTTTCCATTAAAATATTTTAGTCTTAAGAAATTGTAAAGAAGTTGCTGAAAAAGGAGAGTAGACAGTATTATCCATGTCATTGTTAAAATAGACAATTTCTGGTGACCAATTTTTTACAGATAATAATTTTGGAAAACATCCTTTAAACTGACTTATTATGAAGTTCACACACATACACACACACACACACACAAACATTTACTTCTATCTCCAAGCTACTGTTTTATTCGTTCTCTCAGATAATATAGGAAGAACAGGAAAAACATACTGGTATTGTCTTCGGAAGAATTTGAAAAATAAGATAACATCACATGAAATGACGCATAGCTGATTGAATGATTTGTTTTGTCATATATTAAAAAATGTCCTATTAATCCATCACCGACCTGAAAAACTTTTGTACACTGCTTTTACTAAAGTCGGGAAAATTGAAAGACCATTTAACAGTACTGAATCATGCAGCCAGTCTAGAACAGAATTCATTAAAGATTTCTTCTACGTAAGAACATAAGTTTTTCATAGTTTGTTAAGAGATTCTTCCCTCCTTTAGATAGTGACGCGAAATAATTTGACAACATATATTTTGCTTTTTTCCAAGAAAGCTATTTTCTACACATTTAAGTTACTGGAGCTAAATCACCGGGAGAGGCAATCGAATGACTGGTAGGTTTGTAATCAGAAAGCATTCAAAAATTGATTCCAATAAAGTTCAATGACATATCATTAATCCAATGGCATAAACACTCGCTGATAATAAGAAATCATTAAATTATCAACGTTTAATATAAGAATGAGAATACTTTTCTTCAGAGAGTGGTAATTAGATTTTAGGCAATTAAAAAACAATCATACCAGCGCTGCAATACGTAGGAAAACTGCAGCAAGAAGATAAATTGTTATCAGACGCCATTTTCGGATAAAAACAGATGGATGTGAGAGGTAAAGATCAGCACCACGCCAAAGATTGATAAATGCAAGGATAATAAGAACCGCTGATAAAAAGACTGGCGATGAAAGACGTATTCCATCTGATAGCACGAGCAACAATACAACCCAGTGATAATACGAGCATACACATTGCTTCAATTCATCCAATACTCTAAAATAAATTGAAATTACTCAACACTGAAGTCTTGTAAAGTTGCAAATATAATGTAATGTTACTAACTTGACGTGAGCAGAGAAGAAATAAGGCGCAGGATTACATTCAAGAGACTCATTTCGATGAAGCGCTAGCAGAATGCCATCATTCGATCCGCCACTAGCGCCATCTCCTTCCACACGCTAGATTTAAAATTTGAACAATAAAAGTTAAAGTTGAAGTATCGAATACGGAATAAATAGGCCTAACAGAATTTGATGGAAAATATTTGATATTCCTGCAGCCTACCTCGATTTTGAAATTATAATATTGCATGATGGAGACACCAACGTTGAGAAAGTAACAGTAAATCGCATATGATGATTTCCGTTGCGAACTAACTGGATACTGTCCATTATTAATGAAAGCAAAATAGGGAGCAAAATATGGATGTATAGGTATTTCTGAAATTGGTTCGAAAGTATATAATTACATAGAAGAAAATAATAAGATTTACGAGGTTTACAGATTTTGCAGCTCTCACACTATTAGCATTCGCAGTTTTCCACTTGAAGCTAGTTCTTATATTTCTAAATAACATTTTAAAGCAAGATCTTAACTAATGAATTAGTGCACTGAAAGTGAAAAATATTATTAGTTGTATAAAAAATGCCGACAGGATCACTTAGCAGGTAGATAGTTTCAAAAAAGTCAACGAGCAGAAAGAATAAATATATACACTAGATATTCTTCGATCAACTCGAAACAAGTAGGCTAACTTGTCGTAAATGGTTAACTTCAAAAAGTTTAAGTAAGTCAAGCAAGTACCAAAGTGCATTGCCGTTATATATCTAGAGTAATACTCGGGTCAGCAAAATACGAATCAAAAGAAGCCGATTTGGAGATAAAGCTCACTCTAGAAAAGAAGAAATGGTAGAAGGAAGAAGTGGATCAGTAGGGTGAGGAAAAATCTGATTCGACATGCTCAGTGATTCGGCATCTCATCAGGAAGGACGACGGTTCCACAGCGGATCGATAGTGGCATAGAAGTATAACAATTTAGTGAACATGAGATGGACTACTGGTATAATTTAATATTAAGGTGTGTTTATTTCTTTCCTATTATTTTATAAGCTCAATATTGTACAGTGTTGCATAAAAATATAAAAAAAAAACAATAAAGCTATTGTCAACATTGCAAAGTTACAACAACAACAAGAACATATTGTAATACATCTTGAAAAATATAACAGAAAGCAACTTGTAAATAAAAAAACAAAATAGAAAAATTTTTATTTTGAAAAATTGATTAAAAAAAATGTAAAAAACCACGAAATGAAAAAGAGAACGAACGAGAAATTTTATCAGAAAAAAAAAATATCAAAATAAAAACATCAAACTAAGAAACTGGGAAGCAACTTCTAAATAATAAAAAAATAAGAACGTATAAAATATTTATTAACGAACTCAGTAAAAACAGTATCAAAACAAATAATTAAAAAAAATAAATAAATAAAAAACAATTGAAAACTCAAAGTGATTGAAAACAAAAGGAAGACTCAATAAACCAAAAATTCATCAAAAATAAAACACTAGCGGTCATAAAGTGATCTTCAACAAGTTACACTATGATTTAACTATCTTTTTAACCTATCTGAATAGTTTGTAGAGAAATTTAACTATAGTTATAATCTATCCTTACCGTAATAACATTTCCCAGGTACAGGACCAATATATGCGAGCAAAGAGTAAAAGAGAACAAACAAATGATAGCAGACAAAAATCAAGAATATACGTCGAACACGCCATCGATCCATTAACAAGCAGATTACCAAGCTTATTATTGACAGCAAAGAAATGATGTTTGAAGCTACTACTGCTGAGAGAAGGACGAAAATCATATACATCTGAAATTCAAATATTCCAAAGTGACATTCGAATTGACATACGCAGTTAGTTTAATAGAATTATTTTATCAACTTAGTAATAAATTCCATTCTTATTAGTTATTCACATTACTTTCTAATTAGCTAAATATGTTTAATTTGCTGGTGTACGCTACTCTCTACCATGGAATTCTCTTACTCATTGTTCTCTTCCATAACATCTCATTGGTTAGTTGCAATAATTAACCTCTACTTAACTCGATAGGTACTTATCATGAGCTATAAACTGAAGAAATTTCAGAACTCAAATATTCTCTATGAGAACATTTTACTAATTAATATGAGTTAAGAAGCTCTGACTTCCCTGTTGAGTGACTCAGTGTTTTTCTTATCTAAATCTTCGCCGTACAGAGAAGAGATGACTTAATAGAAATTCAGAAGGCTATTTCGATTATTTCTCACTTGCTTTCAAAAATTATTTACCTCATAACCAAATTTATACACGATAAAATTTGCATAAAATTTGATGAAATAAATAGTTCCTTTGTCGGCATTAGTGCAGTCTACGTCTGGAAATGGCAAAATTGGTAGTGCCTTTTTGTAACGTACTGTATACATTTTTTTGATATATCGAAGAGAAGACCGTGCAGTAAGAGCACATATACAAACCACCGGAGCCTAAAAAGGAATATTTTCTTTACGAATAATAAAAACAGTTCTTAAATTAAACTATAATTTTTTACAATTATTCTACCAGCATTAGCAGGAGGAATATTTATTCACCACTAAAAATATTGCAGAAAGTATAAATGAAGCTGGATTAATTATGAAATCAGAATTTCATATGAATATGATGCGTAAATAAATTTAATGAAACTATTAATGCCAACAAAAACTGAAGTGGTGCTTAAAAAGACAAACCAAAGCTGGTTTGGTATTATCCGAAATCAATCCGATCCAATACAACCATTTTATTAAGTGAGGAGTGTCGCAGAAATCTGGATAATCAATGAATCCTTCATATGCATCAAATATTAGCTTGAATATTGTAACAGCTAATACATAATAGGTAATAAGGAAACAAGCAATCCTTTTGATATTTGCTGGTAGTGGAATGAATAATAATACTGCAACAAAGAGCACAGGTAAAGCAGCGGGTGATACCTGCAATCAAATTTCTGTTTATTTCAATAAAAAGAGTTTTGAATTAGAATGTATCATTTGGAAAGGATACTAAAGTACTAATATGAAACTTCTAAATTAATGGAACGATATAAGTCAAATGTTATGTAAGTTAGATCTAAAATAAATGTATTACGTCAGATCAATAATAAGCTAACTGAGGAAAGAAAGGCTTGAATGCAAAGTTCTACATTATAATAATTTATATTAATGAAAAATTTTTCAACGTCATTAGCAAACTTACTCTATGAATGGCGCAAAGTGCAAGTAGAAGTGCACAAGAAATATCGCTCAATCTTATACAAGTAATCAACAATATTCGTCCAAAATCTCGCATCAACGTAGAACAAGATGACGGCAGTTTTACTAAAAATGTCGCTAGATTAAACAAATCATTAAAGTATGTTAACGAAGATTTAGATGAGACAAGTTTTGATAGGAATACCTTTGTAATTTAACGAAATGAGATCTATGAGAACGCACAGAGTGGCTAGCACAAATAAAATGGATACAGTCATAAAGTGTCCCACAATATTTGACAACACTAAAAAGAAGAAATGATACAATAACATTTTCAGTGACTACAAAACATGGTTGCAAAATTTTAGTTTTAAAAGGAAAATCTTATGCCTTCTATTATCAAGTCAGGAATGAGTCAATAAATTAACTCAATAATTTTTTAAAGGAGCAGAATCAGTTTTTCAACTGCTTTGAACTCTGATCAAGATACAAATGATAGTAGTAAAATTTTCAAGTTTACCATGATTAATAATTCATTCATCTATTCTTATTAACATTTAGCTTTTTTTTTTTTTGTAAGGTATCGGATAATTCTGAAAAAACTGTACCTCGATACTCTATAGCCAATGGACCAAGCAGGATATCGCCACTATTAGCTTCATATTTTATAATGTATCGATCGATTAAGAGAACAAAATGAGTTAACGTTAATATGATCAATATGTACCAGAAAAAAGTACTCCGATGTAGAAAAAAATTCATCGATGTCTGAAAACTTTAGTACATATCACTGATAAGGTATCGGAGTAATCAAAAAATAACAGAAGGCGAATTTCTTTGCACTATGCTGAATAATTCTTCTTTGGCATTGCGAAGAGAATCTTAACTTCCGCCCTTAGCACATTACATTTGTGTTTCCACGATAATATCAGACTTATAAAAAAAATCCAAATAATCATTAATTTAACCTTACATGCAATATTTATTTATTTAAAAGTGATCTAAATGGAATAATTACGGTAAAAAATAATAAAAATATAGTAGAAAAAATTAAAAAAGATAGTAAAAAGGCAGAGATTACTTGGAAAATGATGCAATATGTGCTGAAAAGGATAAAATAAATGACAGCAATGATACTCTGATTAACGGTGATTGTTGTGATACCAAAGATAACGACTGTTATCACGTAGACGACACATCTCAAAGTGAAATGAATCAGAGACTCCGCCATTTTATCACAACCATATATCAACCAACCAACAACAAACACTGTTATTTCCGGAACATTGTAATCATTATTTATTATTCGTTGCACTGAAAAAAAGATTACTTTGAGAATTAAATAGTTAAAAAATGGATACCTTTGCTTATTGAGAGGCAAGAATTAAACTTACAAAACTTACAAAGTGAACAAGTACATCCATCAGTAAGTGTTTAGACCATTCTGTACACTATTTTTCGATAATTCTATTAGTAAATAATGGATGACATATACTCTCACTAATATCAGCTTACCTTGATTAATCATGTTGGACTCAGTCCAGTGACAGTTATCTAGATCTCTCTCTTAGTTAATTTATTTAATTTCCAATCATTTTATTAGAAATCATTTGGAAAAAAAATATTGTAGTTCAAAAGCTAGCAGTACTCGAAAGGTGAAACATAAATTTTTTCACTTTCACTTTTTCACATAAATACTGTTGTTACTACTACTACATTTTATTTTTATTGTTGTTACTACGACTGCTCAAGTAACAGTTATTATTCCCACTGAGTTGAAAAAATTATTTCTACAAAAATGGGTCAAAAATATCAATTGCCAATAAGTCTCCTTTTCTCTCTCTCATTTTTTACATATATAAAATTGCTAAATCATTTTGGTGATGAGAGACCATACCAATAAATTAATTCAAAGAAAATCTTTTTATCTTTTGTGATCGTTCAGAATTCTTGCAAAATCAGATCAGTGGGCTACTGTACTACCAAAATTAGGCAAGGTTTTTGACACGTAATATCTTCAATAAAATAGAGATGAAATCGATAACAAACGATATTCCCAGTTTACGTCCTACGAACTCCAACGACCCGTCTAAAACTTCATTTTCAACTCTTGAATAACTCTTCATCTCTCATAGCTGTTTTTTCGAATTACAAAACCAGTGTAGTAAAAAATTTAATATGGGATTCATATATTACGAATAATTCAATGTATGGAATCTATCGAAGCAACTGTAGAATGCTCATTCAGTAACTGTGTTATCTAGAAAGTGTCATCTTGACTGCTAAGAGACCTTCCATCTTTCAGTCATCCTCCTAACTGTGGAAGCGTTGCTATCTGATTGTTGATGTTTCCACAGAGATGTATTTTTTAAAAAGTTTTTTTGTGAGCAAATGTATTGTTTTAATACAAGTAAAATGACGCATCATAACAAATGTATTGAAGCAATATAAAACATATAAACATAACCAAGAATTAAAAAAGAAACAACAATTAAAATTTAAGGGACGCTAATGGAAGACTATATTTCCAGTTGTCCTAGCATTTTTACAAACAGTAAGTCAACTATACAGTATGATAGTCAAGTATGATAGCCAGTATGATATACATTTAAACTTTTCGTTATAACAAGAATATATATTTATTTGTTTATAACTTGGTGGGATAAGTTAAAACCTAGCAATTCCCTCAATTCTGCCATCGTTTCTTGAGCCTTTTTTTCAGCTCTCTGAGTACCAAGCGTTAGAATATCTCGAATTAACTGCGGTTCTTGGAGTAATCCTTCATATTTTTCTCGGAATGGGGCAATATGGGCATCAATTTTTTCCGCCAAACATAATTTGAATCCTTTTGTATCCAAACTGGCACATTCATCGATTACGTTTTCCACGCTCAGACCAGTAGCTAAGGCGTAAAGAGTTACCTGCAATGCATAAGTTCAAAAAAATAAATTGCTATAGAAAATTTTGTCACATCTAGAAAGATAGTAGCATAAGCAAAACAATGATGCAACGCAGTAAGTGTCTGATAACAGCTAGTATCTTCAAGCTATATTTCCTCAAAATGGAATGCCAGCTGAAGCATTCTTTGTTTTTAACTCTTCACATGACAAGACTTTTAGAACGAATCTTGTATATTTTAGAAATGCAAGTAAAAGTCACCAAATTACTGACTGCAGGACGCTTTTCCGGCTCATAAGTAATATTGGATTGCGAATCGCTCAAGGCTTTTACACATTTCTCGACAATTATTTGTTTTATGTCACTTATCAGAATACGCGACCGATCGTTACCCATCGACTTACTCATCTTCTTCGCTGAGTTTTGTAAGCTTTTTAAACGTGCACATCTAGCACTTATCTGAAATTTGAACTACTGCCGAACTTCAGAAAGAGTTTGCAAAGTACTGTTTGCATTTGAAAGCCAAATCTCTTTAAGAACGTTTTTTTTCTTTCATGCACCACACTATTCGATTCAATTCCTAAACTTCTGAACCGTGATTGAGAGTTATCGTAAGATCTCATGACATGATGAATGCCTTCTTAATTAACAATATTAAAATATACAGTAGCAGTAGCTGTAAGCCTAAATCATTTATCCTAAAGACAAAAGGATTAAATTTAACTTGAACTGGGACTGGAAAGAAATCACAGTGAAGAATGGCATTGAATTTGAAAGCTAAATCTCTCATCAGAAGTAGGTGTTGCGTCTGGTCATCACCAACTGGTACATGAGTTCCTTTATACAATAATACGTCAGCTGCTTGCAGAATAGGATATAACTGCAGATTCACAGGAATGTTACCATTTTTGAAACTGCAAAAAAACAGAATTTAAGCAAAGAAACGAATCAGAAATTTCCCTCTTTAGAAGGTAATATTTTCCTGGAATAGTGCAAAATTAAATCCAATTGACACAACTGCATATAATAGCGTCTAACGAAGAATAGTGTAAATTTGAGATGCTAAGGCTTTTTTTTTCAGCTACCATTACAGTACAGTTTTTTTCACATGATGTGAGAAATAGAACAACTTAAACCATTCATGATAAGCAGAGATAAAACCTAAATATAGGATTGTTTTTAAAATGAAGAAAACGAACACAGCAGCTTTATCCTTATACTGTGGCATCCGAGTAAGCCTAGAAATCGTCTGCAAGCTTCCCAGTATATACATCAAGTTAGCATGATCAGCCACTCTGCTCTGCTGGAACAACGTCGTTTTCTCTGGATCCAATCCACATGCCAATAGACTCGCAGCCATTTTAAAAATGTTATTTTTCATCTATAAATAAAGTTCCGTACTACTATGAACAGTAACAGACCATTATCTAAGATGAATATGCAGCAAAATCGATTCAGAAGTTTTAATAATCCAGCAGGAAATATGAAATATACAAACGATAACAATGCTGATTAAACAACATTGATGTGGTAACTTTGATCACTGTCACAGTTACTTTCAAATAGAGAAAAGCAGTGAATTTCAACAAACAGCGTCAGTACATTTGGCTCACTCTAACTTATTAAGAAAGAAATTTAAATGAATAAAAGGGAGAATAAAGCAAGTTAAGCTGTGAAATTTACTGAAAGGAAACTACTGAAAGACCCCTATGACTTGCTAAGTTTACAAAAGAGACAAGTTTTTTCAAAAATTACGTCCATGTCTACAACTACATACAATGGCGTCTAACCAAAAATACTGTAAACTTGAGATGCTAAGTGACTCACTGCGCTGCTCATGAAAATGTCAAATTTTACGCTATATAAAAATTGCTGTTTTTTTTTTGTTATCGCTATATAAACTTTTTGTTATCGCTATATAAAAACTTAATAAAAGCAATCTGTATGTAATCCTTTCAGTCATAAATATGGAAAGGATTAGTTAGCTCACTTCCAAAGGATTAATGAAACCCATTGAAATCGAGTGGTAGTCAGCAATAGAAAGATACATCTGCTTCGAGCAGCCATCCTGAAAAAATGTGTTACTTGCACTTCATAAACTTATTAAATACTAATAATGTCAGTACTTTTGTGAGCTTCTAAACCCTACAATCAATTCTCTGTAGAACTTATACAATCAGCTTGCCGAGTCCGAAACATAATTATATGCTGGAGTGAAATGAGTATGTACTAAAAAATATTAGCAAAAGAAATAAAGGAACAAACATTTTGTAAACTGATCCAGTGCTGGATGAAGCCAAAATAATTACCCAGATGTGGAACGCCCGTTGGTTGAATACCAGAGACGTATACTACTGGGAAATATTTATTTTCTGACTCTGACTTAACTGATGATGCAAATCGAAAAATTCCTTTTGCGAAGAACCATTCCGGACTTCTGTATGATAGCTCTCTCCCAATTACAGAAGAAGCATTCATAATTACCGCCTTCGTGAAAAAAGGCTAAAAGGCACACTAAAAGAGAAAAAAAGATATGAAGAACAACACCAATAAAAGAAAACTTCATAGTGAATATGGATGAAAGCAAGAAACAATGAAAGGAAAAGTTCGAAAATTAGAAAATATCATACCAGTTATAAATTCAATATCGGTACCACTCGACTTCGATGAAATTCTTCTCGACACTGTGGACAAAACACTAGAGCACTGTCAGTTACAGCAAACTGTATGTGCTTTGAAATGCAACTCCAACAAAATAGATGTCCACAAGGAATGCAGGATGGTTGCCTATTATATTGCCAACAAAGTGAACAACGGAATGAACTGCCTACAGGCTATAAAAAGACTAGCCGATAATAATGAAGTTTAAAATAAACTTCATAGTGGGAAAATATATGCAACTGCAAGCCAAAGGTAGCCTTTCATAGTCCATCACTTTCAATACTACCGAATTTAAAAGAAATCAAGGAAGTCGAACTAACACAATTTTAAGTAGAAGTTTCTAACTTAATAAAATCCTTACTTCAGCTTGAAAAAGAACATCATCATGATAAACAAAGTGATTTACCAAGTTGTACACCTCTTCCGATATTTCGGATTCAGAAAACTGTCTGAATTCAACAGCTGCTTTCTCACTACGCTGTTTTCTGAATTGGTCTCTAATCCAGATTACTGCACTTGAAACAATTTGTGCAATGTTTATTGCTCCAAAAAAACGAAAATAAAATAAAGCCTGCAAAATCTTCCTCAAAAGTTCGTATAATATGCAAAGTATTTGATCTTTTAATTCAACTAATTTAGCAGTAGAAACTTGCCGTTTCCCCTAAGCTTTATATTTTTAATAACGACGATTTCTCAAAACATCAATATAAAATTATCGCTTGACTTTCTCCTTCTGCCAACAAATTAGATCATGTCATCTATAGAACAAAATCAGTTCCTCACTGTAAATAACAATTCTATAAGATGTACCTGATAATTTGATTGTGACCGAAATGAAACGTACTGCAAACCGATTAGACGCTTTGAAATATAATAATATGTTCCAAATAAATAAAATAATGCTAAATTCAAACGATACAGCAATGGAATACCAGTAAACCTGGAAAAGATAGCATCTTTTGTCTCTCTGTTTTCTACAAATTTTCTTGAAAAGTATGACACGATTGATCACATACATGATTTACTTAATTTATACAAACGAATCATGAATGACTGATCTTGAATAAGAACCTGATCAAGACAACAAGATTGAACAGAGTTTTGCGAAGATTCCTTCGCTTCCAACCGAAGAAACGAGTTTCGTTGGCAATCAGTGAATCTCTCAAATTATTTTCAATTCTTTCAAGGAATTTTTCAATCACGAATGGTGCCACAGCAAAGGACAGGATAAAAATTAAACGACGTGTGAAGGCCGGTACTTTACGTTGTCGAACTGATACTAATGGTAGAAGCGCAATGTACTCCTCGCCGATTGTTTGCACTGCTATAAATTTAAAGAAGTCCACAACGATCAATTTTCTTTGAAGATGATTAACTTGAACTGTATGAAATTCATTGTAATTGACATCTTCTCAAAGGCTCAATCAGATTCAAATAATCTAGGATAGGACTTTTCCAAAAAACTACTACAACAAAGAAATACGGCCACCAGATGACTTGATGAATTTTATTGAAATTTAATAACGAAAATTTTCTTCAGCGTTATAAAGTCAGTGTGACTAAGTCTGGTGAAGACTATTGAAATTAACAAATGGCTAGTTCAGTACAGTTTCTTAGAATAATTTTTGAATACTAGTACGCAGTTCATTAAACAATTTAGGAAGTCAAGAAAATATTTAGTTCTTAACACGAAATTGAGGAAAAAAAATGAGATAACACATCTAACCCCACAGGATAATATTCAAACCTACGATATATTTAAGAAACTTTACCTGATAAGAACGTGGCAGCGTAATACAAAGTATTTGCTAGGAAGGGATAATAATTCCACCACGAAATCCAGAACTGCGGACCTAATAAATCCTAAACAATATTCATGTGATGAAAATACATTTTGAGAGTTTTACTCATGTATTGAAACAGAACTCAAGCATCACAGCAAATGAACTTTCCAATTAAGGAAAAGATTAAAATAATTAACTGGTCGAAGTAATCAGGAAAATTTAGTTCACCGACTGCACCGACTCTTTCTTATTCGGAAGAATTTCAGGAAACTTAATACGTTCCTCTCCTAGCCAAATCTTTCACCCTAAAGCCTAAGCAAGTGAAATGATACTTTGACAATGTGTGATAGTTCCCCCGCTAAATAATCAGTTTCGCCTTCGTCACAGCGTTCAGCGAGTAGTACTTCACTTGGATCAGCTATGAAAACTTTCATCTAAACATCACTTACACTTAAGACTTTAGCACCTGAAAATTATTTTAAACTCAACATAACTATTCCCAATAAATTATGCATTAGCAAACCACGCACAACTGTGCGATAAGTTGAAAAGTTGATGAGTTATTAAATAAGTATTAGGAAAACTTCCAATCTGCTATTGCCCTTTCCAAAAAATACTAATAAAATAGGACTATCCATTTTCTACATTAAGAAAGGAACGATGGTTCCGAACTTTGTTGAACCAATTTAACAAATCAAAGTAAAATATTACGATAATGAAACAATAAGAGTTGACAACTTATGGAAGACCAAAAGCCAGTACTTCTTTTTGAAGTTTATCTGTAAAACTTGTGAGGAAAAAATATCCTTACCAGAAGACACACAAACCAGTAATTAACAATTAATTACAATAAGGTATCAAAGTTTTTATTGAAAAAAAAAAAAAAAAAAAAAACCCTCCATTAGTGCTAGACAATGTACTAAATGTACTAAAGCTTATAAGCACAAGCTAACAAAACTCATTTCAAGAGCTGTTCTTTCAAACATTTCTAGGGCGACAAAAAATCTCAGTGAGAGTCAAAATTTGAATCTGCTACATAAAAGATAACTTCCTTCACAAAATGCTACAATCCGAGCATAGCAACAAATCGTTTTTTAAAACAGCATAAAATATGAAACCAATAATAACAAGTAGAAATTATGATTTGTAATTTCAAAGGGCATCAACAATTTTAAAATGCCTGAACAGAAATATTACACGAATTCAACATCGCCGAAAACAGCAGAAATATCACCAACATCCGCATATTCATCAGTCAATAAGCCAGATATTTATAAGCGCATAAAGTAACTCATACCATCCTTATTTTGCAATGGTGTTGTTTTGGTTTTTCCATCAACATTCTTCAAAATGCGAATAACAAAATTTCATTATAAAAAACTAAGTTTATTTTATAATTAAACTTCGTACACATTCCAGAGAATTGTAAAACTTCCTTATACAGATATTTAGGATATCTAGTAAATTAGAAAACACAACCGCTAGTGGCCAAACTATAATAAGTTACCGATTACTGCACTGTTCTTTTCCACTAATTTTCCAATCCTTCTAGATGAGATATGCAGGAAACTGAACACCACAAAAGATAATACTACGTTATTTAATTTCTATGTTCAAAGTTAAAAATGATAATCAGGGAAGCAAATACCTGGAATTCACAAAACCACTCATACCAAACACCTCGCGTATCAATTTTTCGTTCAACATGAAAGATAACCTAAAACAGTTTAACCGTTTAACACATCAAATCTCTTCAAACTGCTAATATTTTTACATCTACAACGTTTTATCCAAATGTCATAGTTATCGCAAATTTTAATTCATAAAAAAATCATAAATATCTAAAATCTTCAAGTATCAAATGAAAAGTTTTTTTTTTTATTTTTTAAAATGAATTTGATCCATAGAACATGTTGCTGTATGTTTATGTGATATATGAAGTTTTTGTGATGTTCTTAATAATTTTTTGGAATCAAAACTTACTTCAGTACCCTTCTGTAAACGATAAAGATGTCGAAGCGGTATAAGCGCTGGGAACCAACTAACTAAACCTTTCGTGTGTGTCTGTGGAACAATGCTCAATTGACAATTCCTATAAAGTCGTGCAGTAAAGTAGCCTGCGAATCCCATTAACTGAAAACGACTATTGTAATAAAAATATTTTTAACCATAATAAGTACCACATCAACTACCAAATCATGACTGTAATGCAGTACGTCTCAAATGCTATTATTGAACAGTAGTGAGAGCATCTCGAATCTCGAACACAGAAAGTAACTACTTGGTGCTTTGCATGAAAATGCAAAATTGGTATCAACAATTCATCAACAGGTATCGTTGCACAAATTAACTAGTGGAATTATATAATGATTGTATTTCATTGAAAACGTCATCCCAATCAGTGACAAGAGGAAAAAAATCGGACATATTTAAAAGTATTGGATATTTAGAAAAGAATTCCTCTATCTACCTCTGACTGCATGTCGATTGTGAACTGAATGCACGCACTTCGTGCATTTGATTTTTTTTCAAAATTTGGATGCTCGAAATTGAAAACGGCTTTGGGCTTTGCAAGTTCACAAACAGAACGCATGCAAACTACATATATTTCATCGAATTGCGAAGCTTCCGGGCATTCACTGAAAACGTCACAGTTAAAAAGAAATATCAATTTTGAAACTAGGATCACAACTATATCGATTTTATCCAATATAATGATAAATATGAGACAAATCATTCTTTCAGTTGGATATAGCTCTATTTAATTTCTTCCTAATTCCTAACCTTCCTCCTCTTATCATCTTTTAAAACTCATAGTAAACGAGAATAGAGAAAGAAACTCATCCTTTGGAACTGCATAAAACATTTTTAACAAAATTTATTAACACTATGTGAAGTCCACATTCTTTTCTCTGGACCACTTAGTGCTACTTCAACACTAAAATTAATCAATCATCGACATACGGTAGTGCGTAAGTGCCATCCTGCAATTTAACGGGTTCCAGTCGGCCACGGCCAGGAAAACCACGCTCAAAATATTTTGTACCACCAGAACAGCACAGTACTTTCTGGTGCAAGCGAACTGACTGAATAGGAGCTGGAAATCAATTGAAAAAACAATAAATCCGAAAAAGAAAAATTCAGTGTTCTAATTATGCATATAATCATCAAGGACCTAAGTAATTGTTCAGTAGTATGTTCACTAAAAATTCTGGTAATTTAGCGAATGCCTATCTTAAGTATAACATTGTTGAATACAATTTACATCGATCCTTGCATAAATTCAGTAGGAATTCGTTAGCAGGAACTTTCTAACAAACAACAGTTCCATTTAATTCATAAATACCAATAATTTCAGAAGAGAAAAAAATAGCAGAAATATTAAAATAAATAAGAATGGAAAAAGTATGGTGTTGTCTTAACAAAGTCAGTTATTATTACTTCGGATCAGATTAAACGAAATCTTACCGATGTAACTGGTATATTGTTGAGGAATACTTATAGTGGTTGAGCGCAAAATATCTGTGATACTATCCAAGCATTCAGGAGACAATTCATTATCACCAAAAGATCCTAACAATTCCGAAACAACTAAATCTGGGGATGGTAATTGACCAGCTCTGACCTTTTCACTCAGCTCTCGCATATCGCCTTCAATAATTTGCACTCGATCCTTCCAGCTGAAATCTATTAGTGTACAGAAGCGATGAAATATTAGCATGACAGAAGATAATCACATTTCCCAAAATTTCAAATGACCAAAAAATAATAAACAAAAAAAAATAAATAAATAATAAACAAACAATAAACTAATCTAAATGAGGAGTTCCCAATTTATCACTTAAAAAAAAATATTAATAATCAAGCAATTTATTTGGGTTAATTGCAAGTGATTATTTAAAAGAATGTCTGGTGACTATTAGTAAAATGAAATTCATGAGAAATTTTCTAGAGAGAAACAAGTAGAACATCAGAGACCCCAATAAACAGAAAAGACCCAAATTACTAATGGTCTATGCGCCGAAACAACAATAATCACATGTTTCATTTTGCAAAATAAGGACCAACTGATGTTTGTTCCTGAACTGCAAAGTAACAACAGCATGAGCATTTTTCTCCACTGAATAAAGTTCAAGCTTCAGTAAGCCACGGCGATTACAACTTTTTGCATTGAATAATTCTTCAGCTTCAATTATCATTTGCATCTATAAATAATCGTTATATAGCAAAAAGATAAGCACAAATGTCAAATAAAAAGACAAGGGGTATGCCATTCAGCGTAATACATCTCATATCATATGTTTCTATACCAAATAAGCTCACAGTGAACAAGTCATTTATTCTCAGTTTACTGCCTAATGTTTTTGGAAAATAAAAAATGAATGCACAGCTAACCAGAGGTCCTCTTCCTGCTCCTAAAAGATATACAGCGATGTTTCGCTCCTCACCAGTTATTTTAACGAGATCCTCAATAGCGTAACAAATCGCTTCACGATATAAATCATATTTTACAGAATCCTCTTCAAAAATTGCATAAGTACCCGAGTCAAGATTATCTGCTAATGGTTGTAGAGGCATCTAAAATAAAAGAAAACAGCGTTCCCATTATTCTAATAATTTCTTAGAAATACTACTGAAACAAATGTGCTTCAGTCTTGAAATAGAATTTAAGAGTTTTTTCTTTCAAATCTATCTATTTTTCATCTAATGTCAGAAAAATACATCAAATGATAAAAATCAGTATGAAGGAAAGAATCACAATATATACCTGTAAAGTATCGATATACTCCCGATGTCCAAGATATTCAAACAAAACATTATCGTCACTACCGGCAAGTGCAGCCTCTTTTGACTGAATCGCTTTTTCCTGTATCAGTTGTTTGATCATATTTACGTACTGTAGTCGAAGATGCTCATCAACTTGTTCAGAGCTATTGCAATGTATCAACGGTCGTTGTACCACTGATACGAATAAATCCATCAACAAACGGTAATGTGCTCTGTAAATATCAAAATTCTTTTCTTCGAATTTTTATTCAATTTTTGGAAATATTGAAAGTGACTTCCTTCTCATAGTAATGCAAAAAAGCGAGTTGCTTGACAGTAATGAAGTGAAATTAGCGGCATATGATCTGAAAGACAATAGTAAAATAAACAACTTGTTCGTTCTACTATTATCGGAAAGCAACCTACTAATTTGGGACCTGATCCGCAGAGTTTCACGGTTTATGAACCTACATATAAATTATATATATGCACTTAAATCACTTAAAAATAAAAACTGAAAAAGAACAAAGAGAAGCATACGGTGGCAGCGTACATTTGCCGTACTGTCCACTAGATGTGAAAATGGATGTTTCAATACAAAATGAACACAATGGCTCAGCATGCCAGCGTTTATACAGTCGTGGTTCCAGGAATTCATCGGCTAAATTAGGACATAATCTCAGTCCGACAGCTAATTTCTGCATCGGATAATTGGTGCAAAGACTTCGAAAATCAGCCCATATTCTCCAAATATCACGAACATCTTGTCCGCAATCCGCAGCAGGAAGAAGATTTTCATCGGTTGGTAAAAACACCCAAACACTACAATGTTGGTTATCATATTCAAATGAGTTTACTAATGAAGTCACTCATTCCTTAGCTGAAAATGACAACTCCATTCTACAGAATGAAGATTCCTTTCTAGAAATGTGTATTGACGACGTTAAGTATGCGTGTTATAGATGTAGCAAGGCATCTGTAAATCTATAAAACTATATTTGATTTTCACTTCAGTTGAATAACAATTCTTATTTACGGGAACTTAGCGAATCAGATATTACAAAAGGTGATTCTGATCTTCAATCGGTAATAGTGGATGATGTAATATATAAGTAAATGAATTTAAGTGATTAAGACCTGTAGGTCATATTCCGCGTCCACATCCACTTTGTCAGTATTTCCGCTAATTTTGGAGAATCACGATGTTTTAATTCCAATGTTAATACACGCAACGGCATGTAGGTCATGTAATTAAGCTCCTTTAAGCAAATAAGTTTAATAAATAGCAATTACAAGCATCATAACTAATAATTTTGCCCAAATTTTTATTGTTGCAATTGTTTCAAAAAAGAAAACATGCATTTAAGAAGGTTCAAAAACTTGCTTTGGATGTAACATGACTAAAAATAATAAAAGATTACAAATTCACTAAAATTACCCCTTTAATCAGAATTTCAATTTTAATTCAGCGTGATGTACATGGCAAGCATTAAAAATTCAATTTCTTTTTCGTCATGCAGGATATTACATAAAGCAACAATTACTGTTAAAAGATTAGCTATTGCATATAGAACTATAAATAAAAATTAATGGTTGGAAAGACAAACTAAGTCAATAATTAAAACAGTAGTGTTTTTCTCAACCTTTTCAATTTCAATGCATGATAAATCTGCCAACCAACTTTCGTTCGCATCACAATCTATCCAGTCCGATATCCGCCCTATAACATATGTTCCCCATAATTTTACATCAAGTTGCAAATCCGGCAGATCTATCGGTGGTGGAATGCCGTTTCTAAAAACATCATAGTATCCTTCATTTTGCAAATAAATTTCGAGTACCATTAGCTAAATTATCTGTCTGTCAGTAATCATCACGTAGAACCACAATAATACAATCACCTAAGTCCCGAAAGAAACCTGAAACTAATCTAAATTAATTGACGATTCAAATAAATTTTGTCACTCATCCAAATTATTTGCTGGATAATAAAATTCAGTATCTTTTGGTTTAATGCTGATCTAACAAATTATGCGACAACCAGAACTTTCGTTTCAATATCCTCTAAAGCTGCAAAAAATGTACACCAGGAACACCAACTTTTCAGGACACCATGACGATCGCTTCATACCACCAACTGGATAATTCATGAAATTGTAGTTCCGAGCTCCAAGTCTCGAACAGTATTCGACAATATCTGTATCATGTATGCCATCGCTATCCGTTGCCATCCACCCAACTAACGCCGAAATTTCTACATCGGATACCTGCACCACTTGTTCATCTTCCTGACACATCTGAACAACTGTGTTCCAGCTATGGTTAATATTCCAATGCCGGTTACAAAGTTCTACTTCACGACTTTTTTTTCACTTTAACTACTTTACTAAATTATGCTAAAAACCATACTGAAATTACAGGATCATAATTTTTTTCCGACACGGAACCATCTCCAACGAATATGCGTAGGAACCATCTCCAACGAATATGCAACGAATATGCGTATAATTATCAGTGAATTATTACAACTAACTTTATACTGAATGTTACCTCTAAAAAATTCTATTTAACTGATATGGCAACCAGAGCTCGAGGATTGTAAATGGAACAAAAGAATTCAGCGTACTTTAAAGTAACGAGAGAAATGGAGAATCCTTATCCAGTCTATAATTTCAGTCTAGAAGAGGAACACTAGGGTGACTACAACCTAGAATTCAAACGTTACAACTATTTGTCTATAGAAATGGCATCAAACATTAGCATCGTCTGAGAAATCAATAAAAGTTTTCAATGTATGACAAATTAAATGGGACACAAATTTTTCCACTGAAAACAATAAATCCATGTACTGTAAATTATTTTTACTTTCTTTTCCTCATTCGAAAAGCAAATAAAAGAACTCGACCACAGTGTATGCTTGTTATATTTTCAGTCAAATAAACTGATTCAAATCAGTTTAAAACGAGAGAAAAACTGATTCTAACAATTTTACTCTATGAGTAGAACCTATGCATAAAACAAAAATACTTCAGAATCGAAATTGAATATGTAAATCTAGTGCTTGTTTAATTTTCTAAAATGACTCGAAAAACAGATAGATTACTGAACCGAAACAGGTGTTTAGTAAATCATTACAGAAACAAAACAGTGAAAGCCTAACATGTATAACAGTAAAATATTCTGCTATGTTCCCTAATGTTTACAATAATAGCACGATAGAACCTTTTACAACATAAACGAAATCAGCTGAATTTAGGATCAAGAAAATCCACTACTAATTAAGATCGGTTTAATATTATCAACCAGACTGTTTAGCTAATTCTTCAGCTTTTACAACTACATCATCGATTCCACCTTGCATATAAAATGCCACTTCTGGCAAATGATCCATCTCACCTGAAAATAAGACAAAACTGTCTTTCAACTGTACTAAAGAAGCAAAATTTCCTATGTGAGCGATGATGCAAATGTTACATCATTATTGAATCGGTTACTCAGAATCAGTAGGCGTGAAACAGCACCAGTGCAAATGTATGGTAACATGACTTAACTAGATTTAACGCAAGCAATTCACAAGCTATAGAAAGGAATTCAAATTCTTGGTGGAAAAAATTTTAGGAAAAGAGTAAAATTAGTGTATTCCGTCAGCGCTACCAACTCAAAGCATCCTGAAGCCAGCAATGAAGATCAAATTATTATGGTAGGATTGGTCCCAATTACTTTAGTTCAGTTAATAACAAGTACATTTAAGATTAACTATACCTTCCATTGGCACCTACATAGCCCCTTAATGTATCGTAACTCGAAAGTTTTTCCAAGAATTAATCGATTATTGAAATAGGATGAGAGCAAAACTAACACATCAAAATCAAGAACAAAATTATTTCAAATAACCACAGAAGCCAACCTTACCTTTTAAAATAAGTTCAAACCCCTTGATTGTTTCTTCGAGAGTTACAAATTTGCCTTTGTGTCCGGTGAAAACTTCCGCAACCTGGAATGGCTGAGACAAAAACTTCTGAATCTTCCGGGCTCTTGACACTACCAATTTATCTTCTTCTGACAATTCATCCATGCCAAGAATGGCAATAATATCTTGCAACGACTTGTAATCCTGCATAGCAAAAATATATTTTAATATAAACAAAACCTTATTCAAGAAAACATAAATGAACCACATGCTCTTTATTAAATGTTTCTGAAATTTATTATGAAGTTCCTTGTTACTGTTTATAGCTTATTGCTAATTCTAGAAAAGGCAGCTTAACAAATAAACTAAGAAAAACAGTTAGAAAATGAAAAGTTGCCTGTAAAATCTTTTGTACACCGCGAGCAATATCATAATGTTTCTGCCCAACAATATTAGGATCCATGATGCGAGATGTTGAATCAAGCGGGTCTACGGCAGGATAAATAGCTAGTTCAGCAATACCTCGGGATAATACAGTTGTAGCATCTAAATGAGCGAATGTGGTTGCTGGAGCTGGATCTGTTAAATCATCAGCAGGTACATAAATCGCTTGTACTGATGTAATTGAACCCTAAAAAGAAGTGTTAAGTTTGATTTTTAGTTCATCAACTATATGTATATCAATTAGACTTTCAATAATACCAGAGATGAAACTGAATATTTCAGTTGATGATGTTAAATACTGTACTCATAAATATTGAAAGATGATTTAAAATAAACCCAACATAAATCTTAAAAATTCATTAGTTCCCAACGCATTATTTGAATCATTAGCACTCTGCATTTCCATCCGGATTTGTCAACAGAAAAATGAGTGAACCTTTTTGGTTGTGGTGATTCGCTCCTGCATGCCACCCATATCTGTTGCTAAAGTTGGTTGATAACCTACAGCTGATGGAATGCGCCCAAGCAGCGCTGATACTTCGGAACCAGCTTGTGTAAATCGGAAAATATTGTCAATGAAAAGCAGTACATCCTGTCCTTCTTGATCACGAAAATATTCAGCAACTGTCAAACCAGTTAAACAAACTCGTGCTCGTGCTCCCGGCGGTTCATTCATTTGGCCATACACAAGTGATACCTTCAAAGATATTTATTATTGAAGTGTTGTATGCTATCAGATTCATTTTAAAACAACTACCCAAAAAAATTAATGATGGCACCCAATGAACAGCTGTTTTTAAGTCTTCTGATCAGATTTATGCAACTGACGAACTAACTTTCGAATTTTTGCCTTTCAAATCGATGACTCCACCTTCAATCATTTCGTGATATAAATCATTACCCTCTCGAGTACGTTCACCAACACCCGCAAATACTGAATAACCACCGTGCGCTTTAGCGACATTATTGATCAGTTCCATAATCAACACAGTTTTTCCTACACCGGCTCCGCCAAATAATCCTAAACTTATATTACGAGTTATAGTAAATATCAAAAAGTCTCAACAACTAAAAATATATCAAATATTTTCAGTTCTGCCTGTTCAATAAAATAAAATAACAGCTGAAGTTAATGCTCTCGTAATAGAAACCCCGACACACCTAACGATCTGGTTGTGTATGAAAATTTTTAAGCATCACCAGCAAAAAGTAATGCAGTATTAGAATTTACATATTTCAAATATAATTTATGCTCATTTTGACTGCACGATTTTTGAAATAACCGTACAGCTTCGAAAGAGCAAAAATCAACAAAGTTGTAGTAATCAATATCTCTATAACGTACCCTAGCAAAGAGACTGAGAATTCATGTAAAAAATAAGTCAAGATGTGCAAAATTTTTTCTTTGGTTGGAAAACTTGATCAGAAAAGCATTTCGGTTTAGTTAGTCAAGTCAGTAAAATTTTCGTGATTCATGAAATATAATGATCCACAGTATACTCTTTTTTCTTCCCATTCCAACTTCATAAAAACGATTAAAAATTAGTTACGTCTTTTAAATTATCTTTGTAAAATTTTCTAGAAACTAAAGTGATATACGTATGACCACGAATGAATAAGATTTCCACAGCAACAAGATAAAAACTCTTACCAATTTTACCACCCTTTGCATACGGCGCGAGCAAGTCAACAACTTTAATTCCAGTCACAAGAATTTCTTGTTCCACGCTCATATCGACAAATTCTGGTGCTTCAGCATGAATTGGAGAAAAATGTTTGGAATTGATAGGACCTCGCTCATCAATTGGTTCACCAATAACGTTCATGATACGACCAAGCGTTTCTGGTCCAACTGGAATTTTGATCGGATCGCCAGTATCTATGACTTCATCCCCACGAACAAGTCCTTCTGTACCGTCCATTGCTATTGTTCGTACTACATTGTCGCCTAAAAAATCCATTTGTAAGTAAAATAGTTCAGAACAGAAGTCATTATAAAGTTGTCATAATTGTTTCAAATAGCTCAGTTAGGAACTTGTATTCGCACAATAACAGTGTTATTTGCATATCAGCAAATAATTCTCGATAATCTTTTTTTTTCTGAAGCAAATTCCTACATATTTCCTCATTTGTTAAGACCTTTCAACCTACCAAGATGTTGCGAAACTTCCAAGATAAGACGTGGTTTACGCCCAGATACTTCAAGTCCATTCAGAATTGGCGGTAAACCTTCATCAAATTGCACATCCACTACGGCACCAATTACCGCTACTATACGTCCCTTCGAACCTTTTACAGTCGGCTTCACCGGTGGAGATACAACCTGATGCAATAAAAAAAATATAAATTTGGAAGTCATAAAGCATGTGAGTTACTTCCAAAATTAACGAATACCTTTTTAGCAGCATCTGCCGTAGCTAATACTGACGTAGATGAATGTAAATCCTTTCGGCAGTTAACCGGAATCAGTGTTCTTTCTAGTATTTTAACTGGAAAAATAGTAGCGGAATGAAGAAGCAATCAAAAAGTGCAACAATTCCAATTTGTCTTATAGCAGATGGAAAGTACAGAACCAGATTAAAAGCTTTCTAATAAAAAAATCAATAGTGGTCAGCATCATTTCAACAAAACAAAAGCAAAATACGGTCTGGATATCACCAAAACTGTTTTTGTGTTTTTTCATGCACAGAAAACTTCAAATTTAAAAAGCATAACAATTAAGAAATATAAAATCAGCGGACCTGACGAATCATATGTTCGAGTAGCCACACTCCTTAATATCTTTGGATCGCACAGCAAACGCGAAACCGACCTGCTAAAATTCGTCAGAATCCGTGAAGCCATAAGACGTGTCTTTAAAAAAAAGAATTAAGCGATGTTTTAATATAGATGTGTTAGCGACCGCGTACTAATTTAGGATATCTTATAAAATAATTAAATTGA